TGTTCCGGCGGGGTGTGGCCAACTTGGAAGCCAGCCGGAACTCCGTTCTTGTGCGTTCCTGTCCCAAAATAGCCCTGCCTGTGAGCAAAAATTCTACTTTGTGAGCAACTGACATTAAAGCTGTGAGCGAGCCATTTGGCTACTAGATACATTAGTTTGCTCTGGAGCCCTCCTTCCTGAGCGAAGAGAAAAATGTGTGAGCCGGAGGCTAAAAAACCGTCAGCTGGCTCACACTGACTCAGCTTTGAGGGAACACTAGGCCAGGTCCAAGCTCCATCTCCCCTCGCACCCGGCCACCCACCATGGTTTTTCAAGTGTCCCTGGGAAGAAGAAGGATTGGATTTATACTCCGCCCTTCACTACCCAAAGGAATCTCAGAGTGGCTTACAAACTCATTTCCCTTCCCCTCCCCACAATAGACACCCTGTGAGGTGGGTGGGGCTGAGAGAGCTCTTGAGAGAACTGTCCTTGAGAGAACAGCTCTGACAGAACTAGGGCTTGCCCAAGGTCACCCAGCAGCTGCATGTGGGGGAGTGGGGAATCAAACCCAGTTCTCCCAGATTAGAGTCCGCGCACTTAACCACTACACCAAACTGGCCACACTGCCCCTGAACATGGAGGTTCCACCGAGGGGCCTTTCCTCCAGGAACCTGACTAATCCCCGAGTCACTCAGTTCCTGAGTAAACATGATCCACAACTAAGAAGACCAACACGACAACCGCTTTATGACGCCTGCCTAAGTGGGGGCTGAGATAACTGAGCCTGGCTGCTCCGGCTGAGGAGATAACCTCAGATCTGAGACTGTGGACCATTAAGAATTTTCACCTCCGGGCAGGGGTCATTTCCTGCGGGAGCGCACAGGGACGGAGCTCCGGCAGTAAGGAGCCCAGGGGGCGGGCACATGCAACAAGCCCCACTCCCTGCTCCCAGCAGCCCTTGGTCGGGCCATGAGGAGCAATTAGCAGCCAGGTAAGTTACAAAGCTCCCCCCCCCCCCGGCCTCACTTTCGATACAAGCTCTCCCCCCTCTGCGCGTTCCCTCCTCTGTGAGGGCAGATCTGCGCGTTCCCCTCTCCCAATAGCTAGCAATCCAAAACAGTCCAGTGGCACCTTTAAGACCAAGTTTTATTCAGGTACAAGCTCTCCCTCCTCTGTGAGGGCAGATCTGCGAGTCCCCCCCCCAATAGCTAGCAATCCAAAACAGTCCAGTGGAGTGCCTTCTGACACACTTCCGGTGACGTCAGGGGGTGTGGCATATGCAAATAAGTTATGCTAATGTGTTATGCTAATGAGACCCTGGACCTCTTTTTCTACGAAATGACCCCTGCCTCCAGGTATGACGGAGATTGCCTAGATCTGTCTCTTTGGACCTGCGGCCCAGGTAACGCCGGTAGGCTTTTCCCCTTGAATGCTTTCTGATCAAGGTATCGCCTCTCTCCCTCTTGCCCCTTCATCCAAGGAGCTGGGACATGGGATGTCTGGTTCTCCCTCCCATCTGCCCACTGCAGCAACCCCGGGAGATAAGATTCGTATCTCTCCCTCCCTCCCTCTCTCAGCCTAAGGTGCCCCCCTCGGGCTGAGTTGGGGTTTGAACCCTGGAATCTCTCGAAACTGGCTCTCTCGCTGACGCTTCCACACCCACTCGGGGGCCGCAGCGGGGGTGTGTGGAAAGCGGACTCGAGGGCCCCCCCAGTAAAATAACGAGGGGCACGCGGACAACCCGGCGGAGCAGGCCGGACTCACCTATTACTGTCCCGCCTCCGACGGTGGCCAGGCCGATCAGCAGGTACCTCTTTAGCCGTCTCCTCCTCTCTTTCTTCTTCCGTGATGCCTCTGCCGTTCTGGGT